TCCCTCTCCACAGAAAGGAGACCTGCAGCAGAGCCTCAGACCCTCCCAACCATCTGCTGGGACAGTGGGCCACATGCCTGGCAGGAGGGCCTAGAATCCATAGCTGCCCTCTCATTATGTTAACAAGCAACAGGCCACACACAGCCCAGGGGCCTGGCTGCAGAGACAGGGCAGCTCTGAGCACCCCATCTTAGTGAGCCAGTTCAGGACTCCCGTACCCCACAGGGGCCAGGCACACAGCCACCTTCCCTGGACTACAACCTAACCAGGGCAGGGTGGTGTCCCGAAGTCCACACTGACACAACCCTAGAAAATGGCTCCATGCACTCAAAGTTCAAACCCGGGGAAGTGAACGATGGCGACAGGTCAAGACTGAGGTGGGAGGGGCGGCTGCATGCTCACCATCAGGGTGGTCACCGGGTGCGCACTCAGGGTTGGCACCTTGGATGTGTGGGTTAGACTTTCACTAAAAATTGGGGTTTTGTGCCGTAACCGGGTGGCTCAGTTGGTTAGAGCGCTGTTCTGTACACCAAAAGGTTTCGGGTTCAATTCCCAGTTGGGGCACGTAAGGGAGGCAACCAATCAATGCTTCTCTCTCACATCGATGTTCCTCTCTCTCCTTCTCCCTCTTAAAAAAAAAAAAGAAAAAAATCAATTAAAAAAAACATATCCTCTGATGAGAGTTTAAAAAAAAAGTTGGAGTTGCCCTGGCCGGTTTGCCTCAGTGGTTAGAGCATCAGCCTGAGGACTGAAGGGTCCCAGGTTAGAGTCTGGCCAACGGCATGTACCTGGGTTGCAGGCTCGATCCCCGGCCCCAGTCGAGGCGCTTAGAGAGGCAACCCATTGATGTCTCTCTCACATCGATGTTTCTCTCCTTTCCACTCTCTCTGAAAAGCAATGGAAAAAATATCCTCGAGTGAGGATTAAAAATAAAGTTGGGTTTTTTTAATGATGCTGAAAACCCAGCACCACGATGCTGACAGGCTCTGGGGTGGGGATGTGCCCCAGGACATGGCCCCCCACTGCCCCATAGACCTTGGCCCGCACGCTCAGCAGCGCCCCAGCCTCTGGCTTACCGGGCGCGCATCGTAGCTCTTGTGGGCAAGGTCATCCAGGCTCTGGTTCTGCAGCTTCTCAGTGATGAGCGTGACCATGGTCGGGGGCCCACCAGGTCCTCCGTCCGCACCGACGGGCACCAGAGTTCCGGAACATCGGGCTCAGCAGACTGGGCGCTGCTGGGTCTGCACTAACCCTCACAGCTGCATTTCTGTCTCACAGGTAAGTGATCCATTTCCAACGGCTCTCACAGCTTCCAGTCTGCCTATACTAAAGAGAATCGCCATCCGTGACCACATGCAAAACCATCTGGTCACCGCCTCTGTTCTATGCTGAGCACCACTCTTCAAAATACTTCTGGTATCTCGGCCGACAAAGGCCCGCCCACTTTAGCACGACTGCACAGTTCTCTCCTGGCAAGTTAGTAAGGCAGTGTTCTGGCTGAAGGATGGGGGGTGCACACACCGAGAACCAACCCCTCCCAAGCCCCCAACTGATGGAAGCAGCAAGGAAGGCCACCCACTGCTCCAAAAAGACAAGCAAGCGCACAGGAGACGAGACACAGCAACAACATATGGAAGGTAGAAGGCGCTAGAAAGCCGAGTCTTAGGCAGCAGTGGAGAAACCCAAAAACAGCCTGCCTGTAAACTGCTGGATGTCCACCTCACGGCTGACCACCACCCGGATACCCACCACTGACCACTGCCTGAATGCCCACCTCACTGCTGACCACTGACTGGATGTCTGCCTTGCCATTGACGACTGCTGCCCAAATGCCCGCTTGCCACTGACCGTGGCCCAAAGGAGTTAAACGCCACTCTCCCACTCCATCCAGTTGGGCACAAGCCCCACTCCCCAACTGAAGCTGGAGGGCGCACAGTCTGCCCAGGCGCAGCTGGGGGTGACGCAGGAGACGGTGGGATGGGCACTGAGCCCTCTGGCCCCGGGAGTGGACACTCAGACCAAGCCCCAGTCAGAGGCAAAGGAATTGTGCTGAGACCCATCTCCTGTGGACACCGAGCCTGCATACAGTCACCCACCCCCCACGGACAGTCAGCAATGCTTCCTGGTGGCTCCGTGTGTTCGAGCAGCTGACAAGTGCCCCAGCCAAGGGAAAAGACAGGGAGACGCCAGGGCCCTGGAGCAAACCTGACGGAAGAAGATGGAACCTGCACCAGGGCGGCTGCCAACCCACCCGTAGGAGGAGGTGAATGTCCAGGACAGAAGGTTGGGCGTCCTCATGAGAAGCATGCAGAGAAAAAAGAAAGCACCTCGGAAAGTAAGACACGGCAGAGACAGAATCTCCAGCATCTCCAGAGTTGGGTTCCCACCGCCACCCGGCCTTGCAGCTCCCCCTTCCCGGACGCCTCCTCAGCCCAAATATAGACAAATTCTCAGGTCCTACAGTGAGGACCTGAGCATATCTTTCAGGGGGACACGAGTCAATCCACAATGCCATGCGTAAGTCACAGAGTGTCCCCCCTCCACGGCCAGAGAGCTGAGCCCGGGCATAGCAGCTCAGGACAGCAACAGGCCCTGAGATAAACAAAGTAATCTGGCCCTGTCGAAGTGGCTCGGTTGGTCACTAATTCAATTCCTAGTCAGAGCACATACCTAGGTTGCAGGTTCAATCCCCAGTTGGGGTGCAAAGGGGAGGCAACTGATGGCTGTTTCTCTCTCTCTCTAAAAATCAATTTAAAAACACATATCCTCTCAGGTGAAGATTAAAAAAATAAAGTAATAAGGTAACCAGGAGGGAAGCAAGCAGGACTCCATCGGCGGCAGGGTGGCCTGTTTTGGGGGCGCTTTGTTTCTGCCTAGTTTTCTCTCGAACAGCACTCGGACAATAACTTATCAAGATGGACATCAGTTATTCACTGGCGATCGTGAGTGTGGTGAGCTTAGCGCAAGACTGCAGATTCTCTGGCACTCCCCCACGAAGAGGTGTGGCTAACTGCCACAGTCATCTCCTCTGGGACACACCCGAAGCCCCCGGCTGGAAGACCATGTGGGGCTACCAGAGCCCGAGAGGCCGTAGCCACTGCTGTCCAAGTCTTCCCGCCTAGGTGCCAGGCATGAAGAGGGGGCGCCCCAGAGGCGAAAATCCATCCCAGCCCCTCTGATCAGCCTGCATGAGACTCCAGAGCAAGGACTGCCGGCCGAGCGGCTCCAAAATTCTGGACCCCTAAACCATGAGCAGTAATAAATGATTAACGTGGTCTGAAGCCACCAATTTTGAAGATAAGTTGTTATGCTGCCATAGTAACCAAAGCAGTGACACTTAACAAGGTAGATGGAGCCACAGGCCCCTCGCTGCTGAGGCTGGTCATCATTACCACCCCTGCGTCACACGGAGGCTGGGGAGAAAAGGTGAACCCACCACAGACCACCAAAATCACCTGACTACTTTGACTGGCAAGAACCAGGGTGCCGCTGGTCTCCGGGGCTCGGTCCGTTCTTTAACAGGACACACTGAGGTGCCATGTTCAGTGATGCCTAGAAGAGTCTAAGGCAAAGCCCAGGGTCAGTGCCACGAAGCTGGCACAGCTGCTAAACTGTGTGCAAGGCTCCTGAAGTCTTTCTAAATAAGACTTCAGCACCGGAGACAAAAACCACCTGTGCTGACCGCCAATGCCCTGGTAACACTAAAACCACAACTAGGTTTGGAAAGCAGGATATTCCATTTAAAAGGGCACAGAAACCATGTGTGAAGTGTTAGCCTCCCAAGTCAGCAAAGGGGAAGAAAGTCGAGTCTCAAAATGGAGATCATCTTGTTCCGGCTCTCCTGGCGCGAGCAGGCTGTGCCCCGCACACCCAGGGGAAAGCCACGGCAAGCGATTCCACTGTCAGGGAAGGGGCGCCGGGCGGGAGCCCATCACCCGGGCAGGAGATGCGGGTTCTGACTCCGGCTGGCCTGCTCCCTGGCTGGGCTCTCCAAGCCTGTTTCCTTGACTGAAAACAGGAAAGAACCACCCACCACCCAAGGCCACAAGCAATCGCATTAAACAACACGCGTGAAAATGCCCGGGTTCCTGGCACACGTTTAAATTACAACCACTTCTAACCGGTGCTTAAAAGACTGAATGTCAACTTTCCTTTAAGAAATATTGCTGCAGAAAAAGCTGAAAGGATTTATATTGAAATTTTTGCTGTGTTTTTGTTTGTTTTTTAAGTTTTCCCCCTGAATGTTTGCAATGCACCTGTGAACAATACCCAAGTGTCCCCCTGGTTCTCTTATCTCCCAGTAGAAGCAGATGCGCCTCCTTAGGTGCCTGCTCCCCGTGCGCACAAGTGCAACGAGCAACGGCCCCTATAGCCGGGAAAGGCCCCAGTGCATCCACTTAAAACAGACAGTAACTCTGGCCTTCTCTCCATCAGCATTTCCAGTGGCAACAAGGACTGTTCTCCCTTCTGCCCCCAAATCCAACGTAAGTAAAAAAATAAAATAAAAAAGTAAGGATCCAGCACCGGGCAGAAGGGTCACAATGGCTCCCATTCATGCCACACGTGGCCACGCCGCAGCGCGACCCTCAAAGCGGCATCGCCGGGAGGACAGGTCCAGGACCAAGTTCCACGGCCGCGGGCACGAAGGGGAGCACGAGGGGTCATCGCTGCCCCACGGGAGGGGCCGGGCCGCGCCACCACTGCCCACAGCCCAGAGGGGGCTGAAGGGGAACCGGGCGGACCGGGAAGCCCCGGCGGGGAAACCTCCTGGGAGCGGAGGAATCACCTGCCGGGAGCCCTGCACTTAACCAGCCCCACGGAAGCAAAGCCGCCGCTGCTCAACAACCTCAGCTCCAACGTCAAAGTCACAGTCCAGAACCTCAAAAGCCCCAGGACGCGGCGCTGCCCCACCTTCTGCCCTCGCGGCCCTGGGGGCCGG